TCTCCAAACAAGTCTAGGTCTGTGAGAACTCGATTTACTGCGACACACAGGTGCTGAGCACCTGCAGCATGCTAGATGCTGTGCTAGTCCCTGGGGCCCCACAACCCCTTTCTGGTCCATCAGGAGAGGGAGACTGACAGATAAATAACACATGGTGCCTTGCTGAGATCAGTGCTTTCAGGAAGGAATGAACAAAGGACCGTGGGCTCCCAGAGAAGAAGCATCTGACCCAGACTGGAGTGGGTGAGGTCAGGAAGGCCACAGGGAATCCAGCCTTGAAGAATCAGCACCTATCAGGGGGATGCAAGGACAGGATTTCAGGCAGGCAAAAGAGCACAAACAAAGGCCCAGACTCAGGTCTAAAGCACAGGTCCAGCCCAAAGGCATGCACGACGACCCTATTCCATGGGGCCTGGCCCCAAACACCAGGTACTAGGCTTCCAAACCTCCACAGGGCATGGTCCCCACTGGCTCCTAAGCCAGGGGGACACTTCCTCACGGCCAAGCAAGGAAAGGAATCACGAACCTCAGCAGAAGAGGCTGCCTGTCTTCCTCAGCTCCATCTCCCTTCTTCCCCCCAGCACCACCAGCCACCAGAGCTCTGTTCAGAGGACCCAGCTCTCTTATCTCTGAACCCACTCTGGCCTCTACCTCCCTCTGGTAAACTAATCCTCTCACTTTAAGGCTCCTCGCTAATTGCCAGCTCCTTTGGGAAGCTGCCCCTAGCCTTTCTCTCCCTTGGGTTCTTATAATTCAGTGTACATTTCTCTAGAATTAATGCTTGCCATGTAACATTTACCCATTTCCAGATTTGTTTTCTTTCTTTCTTTTTTTTTTTTAAAGATGACCGGTAAGGGGATCTTAACCCTTGACTTGGTGTTGTCAGCAACATGCTCTCCCAAGTGAGCTAACCAGCCATCCCTATATAGGGATCCAAACCCGTGGCCTTGGTGTTATCAGCACCGCACTCTCCCAAGTGAACCACGGGCCGGCCCTCAGATTCATTTTCTTGAGCAGACTGACATCAGGTCTGGGTCTTTTCCACCCTTGAGTCCTCACTCGATAAATCTAGATCCTGCCCCCAGTGCCCTCCACCCTAACATTTTATTTATTTATTTTTTTTTTTGTCTTTTGTCTTTTTTCCGTGTCCGGCAACGGATCGTAACCCTCAGTGTCGCGCCCGTACCGGACCGGGACCAGCAACGGGATCGCAACCCTCGGCGCTGCGCCCGCACCTCGCTCAGCCCGTGAGCGGGAACCGGTCTGTATGTGGGATCCGAACCCTCGGGCGGGAGCGCCCCCGCGCTTCCCAGGCGGCGCACTATCCAGTGCGCCACCGGGCCGGCCCCACCCTAACATTTTATTTATTTATTTTTTTTTTTGTCTTTTGTCTTTTTTCCGTGTCCGGCAACGGAT